TTTCTCGGCCTCTCGGCAGCAAGACCCGGGGAACTAGTCCTGGACCACATCGTGGAGCGCAAGCGGCTGGATGACCTGTGTAGCAGCATCATCGATGGCCGCTTCCGGGAACAGAAGGTTCCTTTACCAGCCTCACAGAACCCACTACTTCCTGCCTGCTCTGGGGTTTCCTCAGCCACGAGGAATCCAGGGGCAACTCCTGGGTAGCCTCAAGGAAGAGTTCCCACAGCTCCAGCCACACCCCATTAGAGCTGCCCCTCAGGCCAGGAGCCACCTCCCTCTGCTCCCCAGGTCATCTGGCTGGGTTGAGGAGCATATTAAAGACCCCTGGATAGTCCGGGCCCTTCAGTCTGGCATAACAAGGCCCTAAGTTCCAGAAGTGGAACCGCGGTTTCTCGGTACTGGCTCCTGGGCTGATCCCATAATTAGAGAGACCACGTATGGGCTGAGGGAGGCTGGAAGAATGGGCATCATTAAAGGTGGTAACAGGCTTTCCATGCAAGAGTAACAGCATGAACAAAGGTGTGGAGGTCACTCTGAGACAAGTAGAAAGACTAGGGAGGACAAGATGAATTGGTGGGATCAGGGTTCCATGGGGATGTTGAATGACATGATGGGTGGGCCAGCAGAGGGGCATCCAGGCCTTACATTCCCTTCCTACCCCCTTATCCCCCTCCCCCTCTGCTTCCCCAGTTCAGGCTAAAGCGCTGCGGCCTGGGGCGCCGAGTATACCTCGTGGAGGAGCATGGCTCAGTGCACAACCTCAGCCTTCCCGAGAGCACGCTGCTGCAGGCCGTCACCAACACTCAGGTGAGCTCGGAGGGCAGGGCCAGACTAGCAGGGGACCCTGTGGTCTGTGGCTCGGGCCAGGAGCCACCTCCCTCTGCTGGGTCCTCTTCCCCAGGTCATCGATGGCTTCTTCGTGAAGCGCACAGCAGACATTAAGGAGTCAGCTGCCTACCTGGCCCTCTTGACACGGGGCCTGGAGAGACTCTACCAGGTGAGCAGGTGCATGTGTCTGCACTGGTCCCTTTCCTGGGCCCTGTGCTCCCTCCACGACAGCAAGGTGAGATCCCTGTTTCTCCAGTGGGCCCACTGGGGCCTAGGATCCGACAAGGACTGGCTGGGGAGTTTTCCCTAGAGCTCTGGCCTGGCCTCAGTGCCCTCTCCCCTCAGGGCTACACCCTACGCAGTCGCCCCTGGGGAACCTCAGGGGACCCCGAATCAGGATCTGGGCCCTCCCCAAATCCTCTCTGCTCACTCCTCACCTTCAATGACTTCAACGCAGGAGCCATCAAAAACAAGGTACTGCCTCTGCCCAGATCCTCCTCAATGTGGTCCAGCCCCAGATGACCCCTAATACAGTCCTCCCCTGACCCCAGGCCCAGTCTGTGAGGGAGGTTTTCGCCCGGCAGCTGATGCAGGTTCGAGGAGTGAGTGGGGAGAAGGCAGCAGCCCTGGTGGATCGGTACAGCACCCCTGCCAGGTAGGCCTCCACAGAGCCCCTTGGGGTGCACTGCCCCTGCCCCCCAGCATGGATTTCAGCTCAGCCAATGCTTTGTGGAGGGTTTGGTTCTGTGAGGGCTGTACAGGCCCCGCGATGGACAGAATCAGCCGAACCTTGGGGAGGTTGGGTAGTAAGGGAGACAGTGCCAGGCAGGACCAGACAGTATCTCAGGTGTTGGGGGAGCCCACAAGAGGGAGGTTTCATTCCACCTGGTGTAGCAGAGAAGGCATCTTGGGCTGGCAGGGGGTGGGGAGCGCAGGGCAGGGGCTGGGCCACGAAAACTGGGCAAGAACTTGGAGAACAGGAAGGGAGGGTGAGTGGGATGGAGCAGAGCTTTGAATGCCAGGTTCAGGAAGTACGAAGTGGTTCTGACTCCTTTAGCCAGTGCAGACCCCTTCCTACCTGTCTCCCGTGACTTTGGCCCAAGCTGCTCAGATGGGCCAGCCGTCAGCCATTGTCAATGCCCCACCCCGTCTCCAGCCTACTGGCCGCCTATGACGCCTGTGCCACCCCCAAGGAACAGGAGATGCTGTTGAGCACCGTCAAGTGTGGGCAGCTGCAAAGGTGAGGCAGGGACAGAACCCACAGGGAATGGCTGGGGCCGAAGTGGCTGCCGTCCAGGACCTGACCCTCGTTAGCCTCTCTCTTCGTGCAGGAATCTGGGACCCGCTCTGAGCAGGACCTTGTCCCAGCTCTACTGCAGCTACGGCCCCTTGACCTGAGCTGACCTGAGCTGGGCCAGGAGACGGACCCCAGCACCCACAATCTAGGCTAGCCAGCCTTTAACCAGCATCTTAGGGCTTCAATAAAAATCTAAGTGTTTGCAGCTTTATGTGCTACGGAGATGGCAGGCCCCAGGGCCTTGTGAAATATCCAGGTGGTTTTAACTGAGCTCCTCAGGGGCTGGGGTTTCCTGGGGGAGCACTGAGACTGGCAGGGAGATGGAGTCGGTGAGCTGCTGCAACTTTGAATCTAGTGTATGTCATCAGACGATCCCTGATCAAATAAAATTCCCTTCGGTAAAAGGTTCTGTAGCTTGGAAAAGAAAAGCTTAAAAAGCACTAACAGTCAAATCGCCTCATTTTATGGATCGGAAAACTGAGTCCCAGGGAGCTACTAGGGTTTGTCCAATTGATAGTTTGAGGCCGAGGGAGGATTGGAACCAGGGCCTCCTGGCACTGCTGAGAACAGGGTTTCTCAGGCTCCCTGCAAACCAGCCAAGCCCACATTTCTGCTGCGGCCTGGAGTCTGCAGCCTCATTACTTCCTCCCTTCTCAGGGCGATTCTGATGCCCGTGGTACATAGACCCATCCCAGCCTTGGGGACACAGCTCCCAACTTCTACCAAAGCGGTCCCCTCGGCCTGAGCCAACCCCCGCCTCCCACAAGCCTGGCCCTTCCCCAGTCTGGCGTTCACTACGGTGTTCCCCGCCCTCTCAGCCACCAGGACTCCTCTTTCTCCCTTTATTGCCTCTCTCTCTACCCTTCACACAGCATCTTCCCTTTTAGCAGAACGTGGTCATCCCTGAGCCCGGGCTTCTTGGCTACAGGGACCTCCCCGCTGAGGGCTCGCCCCACTCCTCAGAAGGTGTAGGCCCCCACGAAGACGGTGAGTCTCAGTACAGAGCTGGCCCGGTAGCTCATGAGGGAGTTCATGGTGACCATCTCGAGGTCCAGCACATACTCCCGGGGGCCCGTCACGGGCCGGGCGAGGACCAGCATGGCGCTGACATTGTTGATTTGCTGCAGGGCACAGTGGGTGGGGGACATGTAGATTGCATCAACCTTCGTGCCAGGACCCTCCGCCAGCATCACCTCCCTGCCCCTGTCTTGCACCCACAACCAGCTGTCTGTGAAGTGGGGAGAGAGCCCTGGCCAGGCTGTCATCAGGCTCCATGACACCCTTGACATCTCATCCCCTGCACCCAGGCTCCCGCCCTCAGAAATCTCACTGGTGCTCTTCCCGCCCTTTCCAGCTAGTTCTTCTGTCTAACCAGGGTCAACTGTCACTCAGGGCCAGGTGTGAGACTCGGGGAGTGGCGAGGCCTTTGGTGACCTGGAGCAGGCGTCTCTCCTTCAAAGCTTTCAATTTCAGAAAGAAAACAAGGACGGATCCCAGACAAACCTGGGCGCCCTCTCCCTGCTCACCCCTGGGCCCCTCCCTCCTAACAGCTCCACGGGCGGGGCTGATCCTCAGACCCCAGGCCACTGCCCCAACCCCGTCTCTCAGGCCCAGCACCGCGGCTTGTCCTTCACGGACTCTGCCTGTAACCTTGGAAGTCCTCTCCTGTCAGTCACTTGTTCTAAAGGTGAAGAAACGGGGGCCAGGTCCGAAACTCACACCCCAGTGTGTCCTTAGAAGTACATGTAACAATCTAGTTTGTTCCAAGGGAATTTACAACACCCCTACCTTTCTACAGAAATTCCGCCCCCCGGGGCAGGGCATGCTGGCATAACGGAATCTCCTGTTTAAGGTTTCCTGGAATCCAATTTTGGATTATGCATGTCATTTGAGGGGTAGGGGTCGAGGTAGGGGAAAGCCTTACCCTGATGTAGAAGTCCCCCTGCGAGTTCCCAGCACGGATCTGAAAGGCATTGTAGGCGCCGGGGTAGACGGAGGTCGCTTGGATCTGGAACACGTCGGCGGGCACGCTCCGCTCCGAGGTGATACTCATGTAGCGGTGCACGATGGAGGAGGGCTGCTCCCGGCACAGGGGGTTGGAGGCTGGGCAGAGGCAGCGACTAGGGCCCATGGGAAGGGGATACGAATGAGGTCCTCGTCTATTCCCCAAATTTGGCCCACCCCCAAAATTAGTGCGCATGGTTGTCATGAAGGACTGCAACTCCCATCAACCCCCGGGGCACTTGCCAGCCCCAATAGCCACCGGCCAGCTGCAGAGCCCAATGGGAGTTGCACTGTGTGGAGGGGGTGGCCTCGAGTTGACTCACTTGTCGGACACCTGCACATAGGGCTCCACGCAGCGATTGGTGTCCACACAGCGGTAGCCCCCATAGAAGTTGACACAGGTTTGGGCCTCAGAGCACTGGTGTGCACCGGACTCACACTCGTCAATGTCTGTGCCAGGGGAGAGGGGCTGGAACCTGGACATCAGGCCACTAACCCCTGACAGCACCCTGCCCACCACCTGGGCAACCTGTACCTTGGCAGAGGCGCGTGGCCAGCAGCTGGTAGCCCTGTGGGCAGTGGCAGGAGAAGCGGCCCGGCTCATTGACGCAGCGGTACTGGCAGAGGTAACTAGAGTAGCTGCACTCATCAATATCTGCGGGAGGAGAGGGAGCAGGGCTCTGGATCAGGGCAATTCTCTCAATTCGACCCCATAAACGTTTACAGAGAGAGCGCAGCCCCACGTCAGGTCCACTGTGGGAAGACAGGGGGGTGAGACAGCCGTGCAAGCACAGCAGGGGTACAGAGAATTCAAAGAAAGGTCTGCCCAGACCGCCCAGCTCACGGACTGTAAGAGGAAACTAAATGAAAGCACTAGAGGCTTGGTTTTATTCCTACTGAGTTTGGGAAACCTCAGTTTCGCTGTCAATAAAATGAGTGAGTTACTAGCTGAGCCTTCAGGGCCCAGTCGGCTCTGGTTCCCAATTCCTGCAACCCACAGCCAGCCCACAGCCACCTCCTCCACTGATCTGCACGGGCAGGAGCCAGGTTTTCTACTCGGGCCTTACTGGGCAGCAAAGTGTCATATAAACAGGGTATGTGGCCAGTTGACATGGAATGAGAAGTCGGGGTGGAGACCTGGCCCCATCTCCTCCTAATCGTATGATCTTGGGCAAGTCACTTCACCCCTCTTTGTTGAAGGACTTTATGCTTACGCTTTTCTTGTAAGCCTCTCAACAAACCTTGAAGGAGATAATGTCTTCATTTTGCAGAGAAAGGAAAAATAATTATACTTACCTTATAGGATTGCTGGCAGGATTAAATAAAGTCAAGTATATAAGGAAAGCTCAGGGAACTTTCCCCACACAGGGAAAGTTCTGGGTGAATGGCATTCACTTTAACGTGTTGCTGCTTGGGACTTGATGAAGCCTGTCATTTTCCCACTTAGTTCTCAAGACAACCCATTTTACAGATGAATAAATGGGTTTAGAGAGAAGAGTGACTTGTCATAATCCTGGATTCCAATGCAAGTCAGCCTGACAAGGGAGGAGGCCACCTACACCCTTGCTCAGTCTGCCCCCTGACCTGGCTGCTCCCCTCTGCCTTCCCTACCAGGCTGGGAGTCGTGGTGGGCAGGTCTGCAGGAGCCTGCAATGCAACCAGCTGGGGGTGAAGTATTTAGTAGGTACGTGGGTGCAGCATGAACGGGACATGAGGCCTCAAATGGAGGACCGCGTGGCAGGAGGCACAGCGTGATGCAGGGGGGCTGATGGAGGAACACTTGGAGGGGTGGAGCTCTCACCACTGCAGGAGAAGCCATCCCGGTGCAGCTCGTAGCCCTGGTGGCAGCGACACAGGAAGGTCCCATAGGAGTTGAAACAGCGCTGCTCGCATGGAGCCCCCATGTCACATTCATTCACATCTGGGGGTGCCAGAGAAACAGAAGGAGTGAAAGCCCAGGAGCAGCCCAGAGCCCCAGGAGGCCCCATTTCACCTGTCCACCTGGTCTGGTCAGGAAGGGAGCTAGCTCCCCACCCACATCACCCTGCCAGGACCCAAAGCCTGGCCCAGCCCGGCCCAGCCTCACCCACACAGGAGCGGTTGTTGGACCCCAGTTGGAAGCCTGGCTCGCACTGGCAGCGGAAGGAGCCAGGCAAGTTCACGCAGCGGTGCTGGCAGTAGCGGTAGCGGCACTCGTCTATATCTGGGATGGAGGGCAGAGGGCAGACATCAGGCGGGACTCAAGCTGGCTGGGCGTTAAAGCCTCACCACCCACAGTCTTGTCTGTGTCTGGGCGCTGGGCTGGGCCAGATCAGGCAGGACTCACACATACACCCACCATGTGCTGTGTCTGGTGACAGAGGTGGCAGGGGCCTGGGGGTGGGCTGGGATGGGGATCAGGTGCTAGGGCGAGAGCCAGGCCAGGGGCACAGAGCAGAAACTAGCAAGGCCGCCCCTGGACTCACCCACACATTCAGGCCCAATCTTGCGGTAGCCATCAGGGCAGGTGCACTGGTAGGAGCCGGGCAGGTTGTGGCAGTCCTGGCTGGGGCGGCAGTCGTGCAGGCCCTGGGCACACTCGTCCACGTCTGTAGGAGACACCACTCAGCCCCTGCCTGAGAGCCCCTGCACCACCCCTCATGACAGACACCACAACGTTGGAGGACACACAGGCCAGGAACCATTCACATAGCACGTGGGTGATGCACCCCAAAACAGGAACACATGGATTAGACCCTCCCAACAGCACAAGTAACAGCCCACCAGCCTGGGAGCCAGCAGGAAAGACACCCCTAACCTGTGAGAGCCCGTGCCAGGGAAGCACAGGAAACAAGGCCCTGTCCATGCCCCTAGGAGCACTGATGCCAGGGCCTTCCTCCAAGACCTATGGTGTCCAGGGATGGGGCCAGATCGGAAAGGGGGTAGGGGACAGAGGCTGTGAGGCAGAGCGCTTGCCCTGTGTCTGCAGCAGTGGAGGGGAGGGTCCCGCAGGCTGGCTAGGGTAGAGGGACAGGAGCTGGGGCCATCTGTGGCAGACCCCACACAAAGTGAGGGTCTGGGTGAAGGTCCGGGTATTGTTCCAGGGACTCTGAGGAGGCTTTTGAGCAAGGGAGGAACAAGAGGTCTGAGTTGTTAAGATGAGTGACAGACACTTGGTAGGTGGACTGGAGGCCTCCGTGCCAGGGTGACTCTTACCCACACAGCTCTCTTGCTCATCAGGCTCGTAGCCTGGTGGGCAGGGGTTAGGGTGCTGAGCAGGGGGCACTGGCGGCGGCGGTCCCTCGCCATGCAGGTCGTTGATGACGGCAGCTGAGCGGGGCAGGCACAAGTAGCCCCCATAGTGGTTGATGCATTTCATTTCCCCCTTGCAGGCCTCGGGGATGGTCAGGCACTC